ATGGCCACTGGAGGTGCTTCCTTGGGCAGTGCTGCATAGTGTGCAGTGTTCTCTGCATGGTGACGCTGAATTGTCCTCATAGAGATGCATTGATTCAATGCATCTCTATGAGGAGGTGCTGATTGGTCAAAACAGTGACATAAGGAATCCTTGAAGGAGCATCAGTCAATAGGAGTAAACTATACTGAGGTTTATTCAGTACCACCTAGTGAACCACCAAATAAAACATCTCCTTCCTAAAACTTGACCGAGAAGTTAGGAAAAATACTCTGTATATTTGTTCAGATAGTCTCTTACATACCTTTTGTGTCTTGTTCTTTTCTTATGAGCTGAGAAGGAAGGTGTTTCTCACAGCTGATGCTGCCTTAGCTGGAATATAACGTTTGTGTATTAACTTTATGATGTTATAATGTTTCTAATTGGACATTATTTAATACATAGAATAATAGATTATCTCACTTAGTGGATGTTGTTGGTCACTGATTGTTAAAGTATGAAGCCACAAAGTGAAAGCACAACGTGCTTATCTTAAAATAAATTCTGCTAATAGCATTTCTTGCAGATATTTAAGCTTTATAATGTATTTTTTGACTTTCCATAAAACTTAGTTAAAATTAAACAAATAAGCTAGATTTACCTATTAATCTAAATTATCTTCAATATTTTTTTATTTTAACATAGTGAGAGTATGTACTTTTAATTATAGTTTTGTAGGTGAGCCACATTTTCTTTCTTAGTGTTGGTGTGTATTCAGGGTGATATTGGCAATCCTCCCCAATCTTGGCGTAGCTATGTGTGTTGCACCATAATGCACACTATATACTTTAAGTTGTTGGCACAGTCATTAAAATTTTTAACCCCTTAAGGACACATGACATGTGTGACATGTTATGATTCCCTTTTTTCCAGATGTTTGGTCCTTAAGGGGTTAAATGCACTTCCTTTTTGAAAAGCAGTGTTTTTTACACTGTACAAAAGGAGTATTTGTTTTACGTAAGTATAGGATATGTGTTGAAATCCTTATTGTACACAACGTTCTGTCTGGCTCTGCAGCTGAACAATTGAAGAACATTAAGTATCTTATTGTTTATTCCACAGAAACTAAAATTAGATTCATGCCACACATTAGATTTACTCTCATTCACAGAAACAATATAGGGTTATGTTACAATGCATGAAAGAAATACGCAAATAAGTAAAGGGCAGTACTACTATTAATACTTGGAAAAGAGTACACAATACTGAGTACATGTCCCGTTTGGCCTGTATTTGTGGGAGGGGCTTAAATTAATTCCCTCCCCTATATAAGGGACACCCCTTACCTGACTCCATATCGCTTGAGGTCAGCATCAGAATGATTTCCACTTCCGGGTCATCCAGACGCCATTTTACCTGATTACTCCATGAGGTTTTCTAAGCTGAGCTGTGTCAGGAATCCAGCCACAGGCTTTTCCGGCCTACCACCTTCTTTCTTCAATCAATCGCCGTGGATGGTGTCCAAGTGACTCACAAACCGTAAGTTGACCTACCCGTTACGCCAGGCATTAGTCCCATGGCACCATGCACGGGTCAGGTCCTCACTTTACGGCTGCATTTTGTCTAAATCTGTCCTAAAACCATTGCATGTTCATGCATATCATTCGTTTAAACTCACTTGTTTATATCTGTCTCTGGCTCATTTCGAGCATTAGCATACTCCTGAACGGGAACACATTCTGTTTCAATTGCCTAAACATACTAGGCAATTCTGTGTGTGCATTTTGAATCTCACTGCTCGTTTTGTTTTGTTTCCCTGACATACAAGGCTCACGGTTTGTGCAATTTTCTACCAAACAGGAACTAGTTCATGCATTTACTATTGTACTACACACACGTTTTTACAACCCACGAACAGAACTTTGGTTTGATACAATGACTGTTTGTTATTAAGCTATTATGTTCACATATTGTATATTGTCAAACGGGCACTGTTTGTTTCCCTGTCATACAACTATAATGCTGGGGCATAGCTCACGAACAATGTTTCACATAAACTACACTGACCCTTACAGGTCACTCTCAAAATCTCACGTTAACCTTGCTGTTGGCTTAAAGGGTATTTTTACCATACAATCAGCATTTCTGACCCCTACTGGTCAACAGCAAAACTGTCTTCACATGTCATATACAATTTGCCAGCCAATATAAACTACACATAAGATTGTTTTAAACATAACCATAAATTAAACTCCAGCACGGCCTCAACTTCAGGTTTAATTCACAATAATTTACATTTCACATCAAGACCAACAGTGGTTCTATCAACACTGCCACAAGCACATTGACAATTTTCATGGGGTTTTACAAACACCAAAACACTGACCCCTATAGGTCAACAGACAAACAACATTTCACATACCAATCAGTATCCAACTACACTGCCACCTATAGGGCACTCGGCAGATCTCCAGTGCACTTGCATTTTGCAACACCATGTTCACTGACCCCTACCATTCAATAAGACATACAACAATTCACATAGAAAGTAGTATATCAACATCTGGTATAAATACACATTATTACACAGTAGCAGACGCATCTGTATGTACGTAACTGGTAATATAGTTCACATACATTTTTCACAGCACGCTGCTCACACAACAGACTTTCCCCTACCAAGGGGACATACAACATACAAGGTGGCGACAGACCACTTTTTCACTTGTGCATACGGCACTTAATGGGTTAAGATTGATACATATTTAACCAGTATGGCTACGATGTTTAATATTTATACATCACGGCACTTTACTTTTCACATATACTGTACGTATTAAAGGACCACTATAGGACATACTCGATTTCCTAGCACTATAGTGCCCTGAGGGTGCCCCCACCCTCAGGTTCCCCCTCCTGCCGGGCTCTAGGGGGTGGAAGGGGTTAAATTGACTTATTTCTCCAGCACCAGGTGGGGGACTCTCCTCCTCCTCCTCCTCCTCTCCTCCTCCTTCTCGTCGTCATCGTCTGAATGCGCATGCGCGGCACGAGCCTCGCGCGCATTCAGCCAGTCCATAGGAAAGCATTCTCAATGCTTTCCTATGGGCGCTGGCGTCTTCTCACTGTGACAATCACAGTGAGAAGCGCGGAAGTGCCTCTAGCGGCTGTCAATGACAGCCACTAGAGGTGGATTAACCCTGTTATAAACATAGCAGTTTCTCTGAAACTGCTATGTTTAAAGAAGAAAGGGTTAATCCTAGCTGGACCTGGCACCCAGACCACTTCATTAAGCTGAAGTGATCTGGGTGCCTATAGTGGTCCTTTAAGATATGCTTGGTCTATGCCATATTTCCTTATGCCATACGGTTTTATCCATTCAGGTTACAGTTACTACTAAGAAACCTATATGGATTGTCAGGTTCAATACCATAGTACCAGGTACATACACCTGCTCACATAGTTATCCATCTGTACCCTTCCCTGGAATAGTAATAGCGTACTGGCAATTAGGGATTTAAGGCCCAATAGGTATTACCCCCTTTTTTCTCAGCATTATGCTTTGGTTAGTGGTCCCGCGAGGCCAACACCCTGCGTCACACTCGTAGGCATACACCCCTTGGGCCACTCGTGAGCTAGCCGCCTCGCATTGTATCATAGAGAGGGCCTCACCTGTCACTCCCCTTCCTATTTTCTGGTTACTGTCACCGAGAGGCCAACATCTTGCCACAATGTTCAGTGGCCACACAAAATCCCCTCGCGCCAACGCATAGAGCCTCTCAAGCCACTTGGAAACTAGCAGGGCCTCACCAGTCACCAAAAACACCAAGCCTAATTCAAGACCCCTGGGTACAAATAATAATTACAATCTTTATTGTTATGTAAGTATTTCTCAAAACGATGGTGAAGAATCACCTCTTCCTAGCACCCCGGCTAGAAGTGATACACCTTCAAGCAGAGGAGATGTTGCTAGTCCAGCAGCAATCAGATCCTGGATGATCCCACACATTACCACCGACCTAAGGAGGTGACAAATCCCCTACCCTGCCACAGCAAGAAAAGCAGAGTTATTCAAACTCCTCCATACATCAACGGACAACACGGAGGCAGTGGAAGGCCCAGCAACACCAACTCAGGTGACACCCAGGCCATGCTAGCCTCACTCATAAACTCATGAGCCAAATAATTTACAACCGACTGGCAATCTTGAGTCGGTCACCACAGTCCTCACAAGGCTGGTCCTCATGATACTGTACAACCAGCACCAACCGAAACTCTGTTACCTGATACAATCAATTCTTATGACACACAATACGTTAAGCCTGCACATATGATCCCAGCACATTTAATGCGGCACTGTAATGGCCGCATCTGTGTTTTTTTTTTTTGTTTTTTTTTAACCCCCTCCTGACATTTCTACATTTAATTGTCCTCATAGTCACCCCCAAAGGCCCCTAGGTCCCCCATATCCCCCCCCCCTTTTTTTTTAAACCTCTTTATTCCTTGTCAAGATGTATGCTCTAGGTGCCGCCATCATAGTGTTCCGTGGATGACGTGTACCGCATGGGCTTCATCTGCCCACACTAGCTTGCGTTGTGAAATTGCGTGCATGCTCCTTTGAACACTTGGGCATTCGCTATTGTCCGAATTTTGGTCCAATCAGCAAGACAAATAAACAAATATAAATTACATTGAATGAAGTGAAGACCAAATTGCAATTCAGTCTTCGTTCAGTCTAAAAATAGAAGTGTCAGGGAGCCACTTCCTAAATCCTCCCCATCAATATGACCCACATCTTAGAAATTGGGGCATTTCCATAAACAGTGAGCAGTCAGTGGCAGCTCACTGTTGTGTTAAAAAAAAAATAAAAAAAAATCCAATAAAGGAATAACTTACATATGCCCCATGCTGACCTCCCTTATTTACTCATACATAGTATTTTTTACTTCGTATTAATAAAGCTGGCTGAAAGACCAATTTTGGTTTCTGCCTTTTAGTGCAGTTCCACAAGGTACCAATTCAGGGGGCTACCTATCAACCTACTACAAGATGCAGCCATGGCCCTGATCAGAATTTAATTCTTCCGAATGAAATTCCAAACCGAAAATAATACAGAATTTCATCCGAACATGAATGGACATTCTCTTCAGATGAAATTTGATAATTTCACCGGAACCCTAGTCTACATGACTGAACTTCTGGGATGACGAAACAAAGCAACACAAGAACAGAACAGAAGGGTGAGTATTGTAGGAAACTTTCTTTGACACAGAAAATGGAGCTGACGTAAGCTCCTGCTCATGTCAAAGAAAGTCAAGCGTAGAAAAAAAATACATAAGAGAAAGTATTCTCTACTTTAGGTTATGCTTTAAAGAAACCTAGAAAAGAACCTATTCTGAGAGAGGAAGATAAAAGGAAGCAATTGGGACAAGGTAAATTTGGTGTGCCAGTGCTGCTTTAAAGTGGTTGTGGTGCCTCTAGTGACCTGACTCCTCCCAATGTAAGTAGCTAAATAGTTTTAGAACTGATTTGACTTCTGACCTGGGGTCTGCTGCTTGTCACCTAATATCTTCAGCTCTGGTAGGTGGAAGCTCCTGGTATGAGCTTTTGTCAGCTTTCCTGAGCTAAGTCATGGGGGGAGGAGGAGGTGGGATGGGGGATATGGCTTAGCTCACACATGTCTGGAAGCCACTGATGCCACCAACAGTCCCCACAAGTCAGCTAATTCTCCACTATGTGTATTTTCAAACTCCCCTCCCAGCATGTGCAAAATCCATACTCCATTGTGCAGTTGGGAGGCCACAGGCACAGGTAGGCATTAGTGGTATGCACTCCTTATCTCATTAGGAGGCCTTTACTCTTCCATTAGGTCCATTCTCCTCTTATTGGACACCATAAATCCCATGACTACTTTTATCTGCTGATCACTGCATAAGCTGTTTAAATCTGTTGTAGTGTTGCTATGGTAACATATTTAAAAGCATATATTCTTGCAGATTTACATTCACATAAGGCAGAAGACATCAACAGATGTAATGTTAGATCTTACTGTAATAACATAGAATGTAGCACAATATTTGATTGGCTATATTAAATGATATATTTAGTTTGTATACAAGAGACTGAATATAAATCATGTATTGTCCCCATTAAAACCAGTTCTTTGATCCACTACATTCAGTAACTAAAATGTGTAGGTACAAAGGGAAAAAGCTATGCCACTCTTAGTACATGCTTTGGGAAGCTTTAGCACTCTATTCTCTTCAGCAGGCCTGAAATCACAGATAAGTTACCAACCCAACTGAGGAAGGAATGGGAATATACCATTTGGAGAGCCTCCTGGTGGACAGAGAGAGATGAACAATGAAGGGAGACAGGTCTGGATCGCAAGAAAATTCAGAGGCATGGTGAGGTGCCCATGAACAAGTCCATTATTTTGCTCCCCCCATTCAAAACGAGTTCCATGCCCCTGGCAGATTGTCTAAGATTTTTTAATACTAATATTAATAATTCAAATCTTGTCATAGTACTACCAAAATAACAAATGATGTATAGGTGCAGGGG